GTCCCCGCGAGCTCCCCCCGCTGGGTCTCACCCACACGCCCACTCCTGACCCCCCCCACACCTGTTCCTCACCACCTCGCCCCTTCCTCGGCACCTTTCCCATTTGTATTTGGGTTTCACTCCCGCCTCCTGCACTCACCCCAGGACCTGGGGGCTCGGTCTGCTTCGTTCCTCACACACTCCCAGCACCTACGGCCTCAGCACACAGCCGGCGCTCAGAGCCACTCGCTCTGTGCAGGAGCCACATACACCAGGGCAAGCGTGGCTCTGAGGGTCCCCTCTCCCCTCTTCTACCGAACCAGGAGAGCGCGCCCACACACAGCTGCTCCCGGCACCCGCCTGCGGGGAGGAGACGGCCTGGCCTGCAGGTGAGGCTGCAGCTGGCAAGGGTGCTTTCCCAGGGCACCCTCCCGGGTGGGGTGGGCGGGCCGATAGGGCTTGTTATGTTGATGGCCCAGGAATGGCACACCCAGCACCGCCGCCAGGGAAGGTGTCTGTGGGAAGGTACCCGCCCCAGCTCTCAGGTGCGGGGAGGAACCCGGGACCCAGGACGGGACCCCACGGGCTGGTGCCAGGGCGCTGGGCACACGGGAGACCCTCCAACAAGGTTGGCGCCCTGAGATCAGGAGGTAAGGTCCCAGGCGCTGGAGGTGTGTGTGCCCACGGCCTGGCCCGCACAGCCCCACACCTGTGTCCGCACAGCCACCCTGGCCTCGCTGGTCTCGGTCACTCCCCACCTGCCCGGCTCTGCAGCTTCACGGTGATGAGATGGGCCCTGGAGCTGGGGCCACCGCGCCTCCCGAGGGGCTGGGCTGTTGGGACTAGGAACTGGGTCTGCCTTTCAAAGCCCCGGACCCCTGACCCTGAGCTCAGAGTCGTGCTCCAGGCGGAGACTGGCCGTGTGCTCAGAGCTTCACAGCGTCCAGCAGTGGGGACACAGGTGGCCCGCCAGCGCCCAGGTGCCTCCCCCTGACCCCTGACCCCAGGTGTTGCCCACGAAGGGGCCTCTCCACCTCCAGGCCGCCCAAGGCCGAGGTTGATCTGAACCACAGGCAGTGTTTAAGGTCAAGGCTGGGGTGCCCAGGACCCCAAGGCCGTGGGTGGGGTGAGCCGTGCCCCCTGAAAGCTTGGCGGTGCTGACCCCTGGCACCTGGGATGGGACCTTGTTTGGAAACAGGTCTCTGCAGGTGTAACTGGGAAGGTGAGGTCACCCTGGCCCAGGCGGGCCTGGTCCAATGACTCATGTCCTTATGAGAAGAGGGACAGTGGACACAGAGTCACACAGCTGAGGCGCCATCGGGCTGGGTGGGAAGGCCAACCCCACCAACCTCAGGCTGGGCAGATGCTGCGCTCAGGGATCCCCACCCGCTCCTGCCCCTGGACTATGCCCGCTCACCCACGCACTCACACCTGCTGGTATGAGTCACGGCCTCCCACTCAGCCCCCTGGCACGGCCTCGTGCTGCTGCCTCCACGCCCTGCCCAACTCTGCCAGGCCCCCCTCGGCCTCTGTGCTGCGGACCCAGGCCTGGCTGCAAGGCCCGGGCACGGCCTCCTCGGGGCTCCCCTATCCCCGGCCTTGGGCTGCCCTCTGTCTAGGTCCCTCACCTGGGCGCCCGCTGCCAGGCCGCACAGAGGTGGGTAAATCCCACGTCCCATCCTCAGAAGCAGCAGTGACTCCTCGAGGGGACTCGGCAGCTCAGGGGACAGCCCGCCTCCCTCCTCCGGGCTCTGCGCCTCCCTCCTCCCAGGCTCTGCGCGAAGGACAACAATTGCCCACCCGGGGCCCTCGCCCTGCCACGTGCCCTCCTGGGACTCCCCCTGCAAACCCCACTGCACCAAGAGCTGTGCTCACGGCACCTTCCCAGAGGGGCTGTGGAGGCCGCCCACCTCCCGGCACCCACCTCCCAGCACCCACCTCCCGGCGTCCACCTCCCAGCACCCACCTCCCGGAGTCCACCTCCCAGTGCCCACCTCCCGGCACCCCGCTCCCCGCGCCCAACTCCTGGTGCCCACCTCCCCCTTCTCTCGCTGTCCCCGCTCCAGAGGGCACATTCCCAAAGACATGAGAACGCTCACATGGCAGCACACGTTCATGCTCCATCCTGCATAGGCACGCCCGCCCCTCATTGAGCCCCAACTCACCCCTGGGGCCACGAAAACGTGTGAAATGAGTGGTGGTGTGAACCCCAGCCTTGAGCCCCCATGTGGCCCTCAGGGCAGGTGGGTCCTGGGCAGGGGACAGGCGTGTCCCCCAGGAGAAGGGGGAGAGGAGAGAGGTAGCCTGAAAGTGGGCAGAGCTGTCCGTGGGCAGACATTCCGGAGCACAGGCCGCGAGCCCGCTGGGCGGGGCTGGAACCAGATGTCCCCGCTGCGCCCAGGGCCAGCCCTTCCCCGGCACCGCGGGGCCTTCCGGATGCTCTCAGCAGGTGCCGCCTCCTCCGCTCTCCTCTCCCACCGGCTCCAGACCAGGGACCCTCAAAGCCTCCTCCTACCGCCTCCTCCCATGGTACTCAGGCTTGTCTGTCCCCAGGAAGGAAAAGGAAGTCCCTTCCAGATAACTTCCTTGGACGGAGCTTGTAAAAATACAGCCGATCCTGGTCGGACTGTGGGTAGCAGACGGACACCTGTCACGCGTGTCCGGCATTTTCTGCAGGGCTGAGACCAGAGCCACCTGGGGTGACGCCGTGGGGTGACAGCCCCTGGGACCACACATCAGCAAAATCTTTGGGGGCGTCTGCTCAGCACATGCAAACCCTGGGCCCAGCAGGCCCTCCTGGGTACCACCCACAGACACACCTTCTGTGCATGACGTGGCGCCCCTAGAATGGGCTGAGCAGCGGGGTGAGTGCCCCACCGGGGGCTGCCGTGGACAGCAGCTGGTGCTGGGGTCGCACACAGAGCGCCACCCAGCGGTGAAGGCACCTGGGCCTCGGGAGAGACGACAGTGTTGTGTCAACGTCACTGTTCCCCAAATGACAGGTGCGGGGATGACGTGAGAACGTCCTGGTCCCTAGGACACTGGGTAGAGGGACTGTGTCTCCAGCCAGCTCTCCCAGGCGGGAAGCCCACGTCAGAAATACACGCAAGTGCGGATGGATGGACGGGGACAGAGGGAGGACGACGGGGACCACAAAGCAAGCGGGGCCAGTGCGGCTGAGTCCAGGTCGCACAGGGGTCCTCGTCCGGTTTTCAACTGCTCTAAGTTGTAAACTATCTATACTAATAAAAGGGTAATATGCTAATTAGACTGGGAGACCTTCCGGATGTCCTTCTGGACAAAGCCATGGTGGCGGTGGTTAGGGGCGATCAGGCAGGCAGGCAGGTGAGTGGATTGCAAGAGGCAGTCAGACATCTCCCGAGGGGTCCCAAATTGGAGAGGGTGCAAGGCGGGCTGAGGAACAACGCCCCCCACCCAATGCACAAATTTTGTGCACCAGGCCACTAGTATGAAAATAAAGCAAAATAGCTGCTAAGGGCGGTGGGGGCTCGCAAAGGCCATGGGCCGCCCTGTGGGTGTCAGTGCCCTGCAGCTGACCTGGTGGTTCCGCTCCTTGAAAATTCCCAGCGGAGACGGGAATGTGGGTGCTCCCAACGTGGGCAGAATCCCTGCTGCCCCGACTGGAAATGACTCATACGCCCATGGACGAAAGCACGGAAATACACAGGGGTGTCATCTACCAGCGGACAGAGTTCTACAGAAATGAGACGCCAGACCCACAACTCCTCACCGCAGTGCAGACAAACCTCAGGACCTGGCGTTGCACCCAGGAAGCCAGACACCCAATACTTGGGGATCCGGGCAGGGGCGGGACTTGGGGTGACAGGTGGTGCCCGGGGCTGCTGGGAATTGGCGCTATTCCGCCTGGATCCAGTGCCTGCTCAGGTTGTGCACCTACGGGGAGCTGAACACTGGGAATTTGTGCCTGTTCCTGTACCCATGAAATATTTCAATAAAAAGTAAAAAATGAGGAAGTCCAAAAGAAAAAGGCTGCTATATACTTTTTAAAAATAAAAGACAAATTCAGTACTTCACTTGTGGGTACTAGGCCGGAGGGATGCAAAGATGAGGAGGAGGCTGGCTGGCCAGCGGGGTTCAGTGGTTGAGCATTGACCTATGAACCAGGAGGTCGCGGCTCAATCCCCCATCAGGACACACGCCA